CGATGGTACACTTCATGTATCTTCATCATAGATTTATAAAATAGACTATATATTACTGTAGAAGGGATGGAGACAGTATCATTAAAAGAGGGCAATAGAGAGTAAAAGACTTTCCTTATCTAATGGTGGGGAGAACGAAGGAAAAGAAGTGATCATATGTTCAATGCGTCCTTTTTTCGCCTCACTTTCTCTTATATCAAGTTTCTTGTCTCTCCTATATCGAGAAATATCTCCTATACCCTAGAATTTTCTAGAGAATCTTCCTAGAGTGCTGTATGACTGAGAAAGCATTTGCATATCTCTGTTCTTCAATCTTGTTATCAGTCGCCGTCATAAAAAGTGCAGTCTATTCTATAAGTCTATGGTCTTCACCTACACGAGTAATATTTCTGCAAAAAGCGCCAATCGATCAGCTGACCATAATACCATCAGCTCCGACATATTCCATATCGACGAATGTCGATCTCGGTACTGGCAAGAAACTTTACATCGCGATATGTCGGCGAACAAACCGGACTCGTAAATCCGCGCGTCTACCCACTCGTCGCAGATACGAACAGAATAAAGAGTTTAGCGATCGATTGGCTTTTTACCATGCGGGAAGAAGTCCCCGTGTGTGCGTACGCACGCGCGAGAAAAAGAAAGGGAGAGGGAGCATGGCCTGGTCTGGCCCGAACGGGAGAGATTTATACCCGGCGACTTATTTGGCGGCATTGTTTACGGGCCAGGAAGCAGTTTGTCCCGCGCGCTCGCCGCTCCTTTTTTGCGATATAATTGCCGATTCCGCGAGCACAGCACCGGGGCGGTCCTTTTTTGCGGCGGATCTTCTGTCCCATCGAGCGCCGTAAGAAACTCGCGCGATCGTATTCTACTACGTCGTCGGATCTCTCCCTCTTTCTTACGCGAGACCTGCGTCCAGCCATCGGCGCCCTTTTTGTGCCCACACTTTATCACACCGTCGTTTTTCTTTCTTTTTTTATGCAACGTATGCGACTCTTCCCTTCCCGCCAGGTCGGCTTTTACGGTAGTCCGAGTCACGACCGTGTCTCCATTTTTATGTCTCCCTCCCCTTCATTCGAACTTGATCGGAGAAAGTGTACGCTCTTCGATCCTTAATCGATCGTCCTCTACCCTCTCCCCTCTTTTTCTCTCCGTTTGAGTGGCAAAAAGGGCAACAGTCGATTCGATCGGCCGTAAATTATGTTCGAGCGAGCGCCGAAACCGATATGATTATTTTTAGGGAAGCAACGATCGAGACTGCGGCTAAATGACGTCCGGATATCGCTTCGTTTGCGATAAACGAGGGTCGGTAACGAGAGCGGATGAGGCGCTCGCGCGCGCTTGTGCTGTAACGAGAGCAAGACGCTCCTCTTTCTTAAGCGTCCCCAGAACCTATCATCTTTTCGCGCCGCGCTCGAGCGAGACCCGATCGTGCCACCCAATAATTGATACATACTTAACGAGGGTCGGCGCGAGAACGTAATTAAGAACGTGCTGGCGAATTTATGGCAGCTCTTTGGGACGTGTTATTAGATACAAAATATACGGGCGTCATCGTGCGGCGAGACGATATCTCGTTGATATTGTGACGATCAGCATTTTTCATAAGCTTTCTTTGCGAGATCATGAGCTTGTGGGAGAGAGATTTTCAAATAAATCAGTTATTTAATTATTTGGACACGGCGTAAACCTAAAGTTTAAATATTGATGGCAGAAACTGACGAAATCGTTGTGGAGTAGGACCGTGATTGTGATTAACATTTTAGAAATCGAACATTATCATTACCTGATTAAGTTTGATGTAATGTGAATGATTTTTCAGAATTCTCGATCAGTTTTGTGTTATGTGGATAATTTTTCAGAATTCATCTGACGAAAAGAGCAAAGTACTGCACTTTTTGCAGAAAGAATATCACAGAATGAATTGAACAAATTTTAACTCACATTGAGTGAAACAACGGAACACGATCGCGCACTGAAGCAGCCTCCAAGAAAGGATGGTTGAAAGTAATCGATGCGAAGCGCCGAATGTCACCGCTGCGAGCACAGAGCGAGGAATTGACGGACAAGGCGTTATCCCAAAGGGGATTCTCCGACGGCGAATCCGTTCTGAGTGCGCAAGGATCGATCTGTCGTCCGCCTCAGTGTCCGTGCGCGAGGCCGCAGCAATAAATTCACGGATACGTCGACGTAGCCGGGGAAGATAGCGGCAAAACGCGCCCGCGTCGGGCCCCCTTTTTCGCCCGCCATGTATGGAAACGCGTGCGAGCGCCATGTATTCCCTGTGTAGTAGTACCTCACGCGATAGATCCTGCTGATGCAACACGCGAGCATCACTTAGGGAAGGATCCGCCGCCGTTGCCGCCGCCGTGTGAGAAATGACGCGAATCCGCGGAACGACTTGCAAAAGGGAGAGAGAAAAATCAGACACGAACGTCCGTGCGCATACTATGCGTGTAGCTCTGAGTGCGGTTATTTGTTTCAGACTTTCGCTCTTACCGCGTCTTCCTGCCGTATACAGGATATTTTTTTTATCGCTGAACTAGTATATACTTACGGAACTTAAGAAGAAAGAAATATAGAGTTGAGACTTGATGGAAGAAACAGAATGAAGAGAACTAGAAAGATCCTGATTGGGGACACGGCACAATTGGACACATCCAACCGACAAGAATTTATCTGGTGAATTATTAGGTCCAACTAATTATTATACTCTGTGTCCAATTATGCAGTATGTAATCGAGTACCACTCGTGCAAGTTAGTGCCGCCAGTTTAGCAATAGCAAACAAAGCTAAGGTACATGATATATTATTTCTACTTTTCCAAACGTTTTAATTCCCTTCAACTATTCCCTGGCCTAAATCTCTCTTTTCCAGTTTTATATGGGTGATATCATTCAAACAAAAAAATTTATAAGTTAAAATTCTAAGTTAAATCATTCGATACAGCAGCATCTAACGAACTTCGATAGCTGCTTTCGTAATAAGTATATATATACACTTATTTATATTTCATGTTATATATGCTATAGAAAATGCACACATATGCGTATTACAGGATGCAACTGATGATTACTCAGCTGTCTGTACGATTAAACGCCACTACTTATCTGAACTAGGAGAAATTTAAATTATACGTTAACCTTGCTACTTGAAAAAAAGTAAAAGACGACAGGTTTATTGCGTTTTATTACAACGTCAAATTTTTATAAAAAAGAAATTAAGGTTTGTAGCGAAGAATTTGAACTTGACAAAAAATAACGGTTTTAACACAATGAATCATTTAGCTAAAATTGGAGTTCTTAGCCAAGATTCAAACCTTACTTAGCTGAGACTCAAACCTGTTAGATGTTACTTATTATTCTATAGTTATATTGTTGAGTTTTATTATGACGTCAAGTTTTTATAAAAAAGAAACAGTAGAGATTTGTAGTGAAAAATTTGAACTTAACAAAAAACAACGGGTCTAACCCGATGAATCATTTAGCTAAAATAGAAGTTCTTAGCCAAGACTCAAACCTTACTTGGCTGAGATTCGAACCCATTAGACGTTACTTATCACTCCATAGTATAGTTCCAAAGTCTCTGCTATGAGTCGCCACCATCCACAATGAAACTTCAAGCATGTAGGCACGGGTCAAATAGGCTTCGATTCTGGACCCTGTACCTATTGTACAACTCTTTATCAATAAAGGAAAAAAAAACAAGCATGTAAGTTAGGATAAGATAGGCTTAGCACCTTCATTTAGCGCTTGCTATAAGTCTCGATTTACAATAGGTGTAGTAAGCTTTAAGTTTTAAAAAATTGACCAATCATAGTCGAATTATAGAAGAATAATCAATCGTGATTGGTTAATTTCTTACGGCTTAAAGCATACTACACCTATTGTAGATCGGGACTTATGGCTCCTGCACACAAGACGCGGTAACGCTTGCCGCACGGCGGAAATCCGCGCGACAGCCAATCAATATTGTTTTTGTATATTGATGATTGATGCTTAATATTCGATACTTATTGGTCCATACGATCTTATGCTATGCATATGCGTCTATGTAATTTTGTGTGTGATGGCTCTTAGTCCTGTTCTTCAATACGTCGTATGTCGCTGTCGGACGTCGAAACGCAGTCGATGGTCCAATAAGGAGATTCGTCTCGAAAAACAAATCCTCTGATTGGCCTATCGGCTGCACTCCGACATACGACAGCGATGTACGACGTATTGTAGAACCGGCCTTATGGCTCCTGCACACAGGACGC